CTGAAAACTCTTCTCACTTCATAGCTTTATTTTATCGTTTTAGACATCTAAGGGTATTCTTATCGAACTTACTAATACTTTTGAGTTGAATACTATGAAATACTTTTAAACTCTTCAAATTTTGTTCACCTGTTTTTATAAACACTTTAAAAGTATAACAGCTGTCCTCTGGTAGATTCAACATCAAACTACAAAAAAGTTACAATTCTTTTTTAAGTACTATTCATAAATTTGTGTATCTAGTATTAATCGCCTGTTCTTTGAAGAAGTCAACCTACTGTTGTATGGACTGACAATCCAATTAGTATTAGCTTCTTGTATAATTATTAATTTTTGATTCAATGTTTTCAATTTTTTTGTTTGTTTTTTCGTTTGTCTTTCTATTCAATTGCCTATTATGCAATGGAGTTAATCCAACGAGCAGAATTATATAATTCTCCAATCAACATTCTGGTACTGTAACGTGCTTGATAAGTGAATCACATTTGTATATATACATATGTATAAATAAAAAATAATGTATACCGTATATTTTACGTTGTAATACCCATGTTACCCAATTAGAAATATGTTACAATTTATTTCGAATATTTCCGCAGCGATCTTGTCTATTTGATAGTCTTTCTATGCAAATGTTGTGTAAGTATATTTATAGGAGAAAGTGGAATATAACAAAATATCTTGGATTGTAATGACAAGAAATCAGGAAGTAAAAGAGACACGGGCTTTGATTTATTGTTCTACAATTATCTAGTCCTTAAACGATAAAATATGAAACACTTTGACAGAAACAATATTTGTCTACAAAGGAAAATAAGATTTTCCGGAGGTACCTATAAATCTATTATTCCAAGAACAGACGAAAAGATATATCATATATAATATATTAAATTTTCTATATAAAATCAATTTTCTAGGAAATCAGTATAGTGATTAAAATTTTGTTTTACAATTTAATAGATAATTGCAAACAAGAATAAGGAATTACGAAGAAACATTTCCATTTTTCTCTATACTCTATAAATGTTCAGTTTTGCCTTACATTAAAGTTTTTCATTTTGTCTCACTTGAGATAATTTAGTAAACATTTAGTATTTATGCATCAGTATGAGACAATGAACAGGAGAAACAATTAAAAAAGAAATGTGATAACTATGGAATACAGTACTATATCTGTATACAATAGGTTCTTATTGTTGTAAATTTTCTAAATATACAATAAAAAAGCGTTGAATGATTAATAGAATAATACCGGAATTGAGACATTTAAAATTTTGCCAATAATGTAAATAAAAAAATATATATACGCGAGCCTAGATCACAGGTAGGAGGTAGATTATAGTATATGTAATTATGAAACCTGTTTGGTCTATATCATACGATAGTAACTCATTTGAAACTTTTATTCAAGAAAAATATTTTTATTTAGCTTTACTCAACCGTTCAATATAGTACTATAAAGTTCTTAAAATTAATCTAACCAGTTACTAATGTTTGAAATTTCGAATTTCCTTTAACTTTCTTGTGAAATAGAAAAAAACCTATTTACTGTTTCATTTTCACTATTTTTGAATTGTTTTGATAAGTTGAAACATTTAGTGAATTAAACTGTCATATGTAATTTTCTTTACTAGACTTTCGTTTAACATCAAGAAAAATTAAATTATATTAGTTCCACTAATAAAGATGCGTGTAAACCATAACATATTTTATTGAAATAAAAGTTATAATTATATTATGTAATTCTGATGGTGGCTTTAATGTTATCTGTAATAGGAATAATTATTATTTACTCTATAAGTGATTGTTCTAAACCCGCCTTGAATGTAGTATAAGATTCATGCTTTGCACATCACTTGTACTTAATATTCGGTTAAGTTAGTTATCCTTATGGTTACAGGAATTATTTATATATAGGTTGCAGGCAAATAGTACTGCCACATTTAATAACATTTTTCTGGTAAAAGATAATATTATTTAGTCATTTGTCAGAAGATTAAGCCGAAACTCTGTGACTTTTATTTTTTTAACACGAAATATATCTTATCATTAATAGCTAAATATACGAGAAAGGTATAAGGCAATATTTGTTACAAAAAGAACTCTTGTGTGTGAAGTGACACATCCAACTCTTATTTCAAATCAAATATTTTCATGGTTAACTGATTGCAATGTAATTATACGACTGTTGTACATTCATAATACAGTTTCTTTTAGAATATACAATAGATAGAATATAGCTCAACACATCAATTGCCACGAATACCTTCAGAGTCTTATATATCGCTCACTCTTTTGTAGTAAAGATAAAAGGGAAGACTTACTTATTATTTGATATCGCAATATTTACATCACACTGTTATCTAGTTATTTACGCTATTAAACAATTTCATTCGATAGTAGTTATCTGACAAGTTATAATTGTTTTCAAGTAATTCGGAAGCTCCGGTCATCAGTGACAACCGAACACCTTTGCAACGGGCAACGTGATTGTATGTTAATTAAAATTCTTTGGCAGAATACCATAGAAAAATAAGTTTTCTATACGCATTTAACTCAGCTACAGACTTTTGGAAATTATATGCCCGCATGCAGCTAAACGTTTTGTTCGGCTATTGTAAATCACGAAAGTGTTAAGATGCACTCACATTGAAGTTAAACAATGACATACTTGGTTACTAACAATTGCCATAATTTCGTTAAAAAAGTCGTACAACATAGTTTAAGGAGTCATTGGAAAGGAAAAACTTCGGCCTACAAGATTGTTATGAACACAATCAAAAAAATTGCTTTTCAGTATTTTTTAGACATTTAAATTAAGAAAATATTGCGAGGAAAAGTACCCGTATCTTTTCCTTTGAAACATGATGCGCATATCTTCTTAAAAGAAGGTACTCAATAACACTAAAGTAGAGAGTGTACGTTTTAAAATGAGCCCAGGTGGAATGT